TTGTACACTTCCGCAACCACCTTGTGGCCCGCGAACCAGCGCCCCTTGAGGGCCTGGAAGGCCTTGTGAGTTTCTGAGGTGACGGACAGCTCCACGAAGATCTTGACGATCTCAGCGTCCTCCTCCTCGCCTTGTTTCTCTTGGTAGAGGATGGCGGCACCTTGTTTCTCTTGGTTGACGGCACCAAACTTGCCACACTCCTCCGTTACCTCCCCATCCAGGTCGTCGATGTCCTTGGGGTCCGCCATGTTGTGGAGGACCATTACTGTGGACTGTGAGAGGGGGCAGCTGAGCCTCGACGCCTGCGCAGGGCACTGCCCACCTCCGGCCGGCCTCCCCTGCCCCTGCCCTCCGGAGGCGGGGCCCACCTCCTGCTTGCGCAGCAGCTTCCGCATGACCATGTGGTGCGCGCTGCCCGAGATGCTCATGTGCTCCTGCTCGCTCAGCATCTTGGGCCTCTCGGACTCGGGAAACAGCTCCTCCTCCTCCTTCTTCTTGCGCTCCAGGAGACCCAGGGTGGGAGGGCTGGCCAGGATGGGGTTCACCACTCCCACAGAGTGGATGGTGACCTGAATGAGAGGGTGGGCGGGAGTTACACCTGTGATGACTCCAGGGGCCTGGGCAGCCATGACAACCTGGGGCAAAGACCCCAGGGGCTGGGCCAGGGTCAGTGCCGGGAACACCAGTCCAGGTGTGGCCAGGGTACCCAGCACCTCTGCTCCAGCCACTGCTTCCTGAGCTGTGATCTTGGTTGTGGCTGCACTGCGGCCGTAGGGGGAGCCCTCCAGGCATGGCAGGCGTAAACGGGCATGGGGGGCGTGACAGCCTTTCCCACCCTCAAATACTGGCCACCCAGGTCGAAGAGGTTCATGGAGGACACAGCATGCTGGGACAACTGGACCTTTTCATACTCAATGAAGCCATAGCCTTTGTGCTTGCCCATCGTGGGGTCCCAGGCCAGAGTGCAAGACTTGATTTTGCCAAAGGCCTTAAATACACCCTTGTCGTCTGACAAGTCCTGGTGCATGGAGGCCACATAGATGCGCCTGAAAGCCCGAGCCGCCTCGGCCAGCTCGTTCTTTGATGGACTGGGCCTCCCCAATGTGCTGGGCCTGCTCACCTTGATGTTCCGGCCCCCCAGCATCACTGAGTTCATCTGTCCCAGGACCAGCTGCGTAGCTTCTGGGACCTCATACTCCACGAAGGCGAAACCCTTGTGCTTCGTGGTGACAGAGCCCCAGGACATGTCGATGATGCTCTTGATGGGGCCGAAGGGGGCGAAGGCCCTGCGGACGGTGCCCTCCCCCAGCTGATAGTAGATAGAGCCGACGTAGACCCGGCACATGATGGCCAGTGCCCGCTGCCGCTGAGCCGCCTTGCAGGTCGGTCTGCTGCTGGGTGATGGTCTGCTTCACCAGCACGCTCTCATGCTCTGCTCCATGGCGTATCTCTTGGCCTTCTGGAGGGCCTCCTGCTGCTCGGGCATCAGGGGAGGCAGCCCCAGCCTGGCACCCGTGCTCTGCCCGTTCTCCATCTTGATGGAGTCTGTGCCCTGTGGAGGCTTCCATTTTGTCTCCCACTGCCGTCGCCACCTTGCACCCGTCGCGGCCGCAGTGTGCACCACACACTCCTACTCCTCTCTAGTTGTGAGCCTTTCTGAGGCAGGCGAAATCTGGTCTCTCAATGTGAGGGGCTTACAATCCTGCAGGGGAAGGATTGCTACTGATCGTTCAGACGTTCGGGGTCGGAAACCACCAGGGTCAGCCGAGGAGGGAGATCGAGAGAGAGGGTGTGTTGTGGACTCCAGGTATCCCTCTGTGGTCCGTGGGCTGTGTGTTGTCTCTGTTGCATAGTCTAAATAAAGTTACATAAGATAATTTTTAAAAAATTAATGCATAGGAAAATGCCTAGGGAGGCAGCAGCCAGGTTGTGAGCATGGGAGTCAGAATTTGGACACGGCTGGTTCCCATCCTGGTCGTCACCATTCTGTGCTCTTGGCCTGGGTGGCAGACGGGGGAAGCCGTGGGCCTGTGTGACTGCTGACGTGCACGTAGGGCGTGAGCACCTGGGGTTTCTTCATGCACTGGACTCCTACACCGGCCTCTCCCCTTGGCCACAGTGAGATGAACCAGGTTTGGACTCCTACACCGGCCTCTCCTCTCGGCCACAGTGAGATGAACCAGGTTTTGAGCGTGGGGAGGGAGTTCGGTACCCAGCCAGAATGGGGAGAAGGAGGGTGTTTCCCTGAAGGGCTGCTGCGCCTACACGAGTGTCAGCTCCCGGTGTGTGTCCCTTGGCATCTGTCCATGTCCTTGTTTTTTTTTTTTTTTTTTTTTTAATTTGCTATAGTCACATGAGCTCACTGGAGAGTGACAGGGAAAGTGAGAAAGCATCCCCAGGAAGACTGGCCATGCCATCCTTCCTCTTCGTTCTCTTTGGATTTTGGACATATGCGTGTGTGCTTGGTGTGTGTTTCAAGCTGCCAAGTCCAGGATTTGAACCTTGCTGCGTCGGTTACCACACTACCTGCTGGCTGGTCCACATTCTTTCTGGGTGTCTCCTAGTACGATTGCATGCTTATCTGTTCCTGCAGCAACCACAGGTCCTTGTGTCAGCCAGCATTTGTTAAATGGATGAGAGGATGCTTGTGTAAGAGCACGCTTTTTCTGATTTGACATGCACCAGCTCCTCTGCAGTGAGGCCCGTGATGTCAGCCTGTCGCAGCTCCCTTATTCCGGCTTTGCTCCCTGTGCTTGATGGTCCTAGCTTATAAGGCAGTTGGGCATCTCTTTTCTGAAAAGCTTGGCCCAGTGGTGTATCTGGTTTCAGGACTTTTCAGGTTTTGTGTCTTCGCACATGTGTGAGTTATCTTGGGGATGGGGCCCCAGTCCGAGCCCGGACAGGGTCCGAAGCGGTCTTCAGCTCTTCGAGGAGTTCCGTGATCCCATAGGACTTGGTCTACTGGATCCAGGATCTGGCGGATTGACACTCTCTCTTTCATTTCCAAGGCAGATGCATTTGTTTCACACACCTTACGCGCTGAGCGGAAGTACTGTCACCCACTCCGTTTGTATTGTAGCGCTTGGCCTACCACAAGTCACGTGAAGTCAGGTGTGGAATATTCCACATGCGGCGAAGTGTCAGTGTACAAAACGTGAAGGGTTTTGGAGCATTTCAGATTTCGAGTTTTCAGGTTAGGGGTGCTCAGCCTGTGGAGAGTTTTAATTTTTTTTTTTTTTTTCCTGGCCACAAGTTTATTTAACACAAAATAATCTCCAACTTTACTGAGGTGGCTGGCCACGTCCACAACCAAATCCGCCTCTAAACCGGAACTCGGTGGCTGACCCGGCCCCAGCCTTGGCTTTCTTGTCCGCACCAGGGGGCGCAGCACTCTGTCTGTGGGTGTCCCTGTCAGCTTCTCTGTGAGTCTCGCAGGTCGCTCGCCCTCCAGACCTTTGGGTCGGGGCCTGCCAGTCTCAGTACGGCTTCGGCGCAGGGTGGCAGGCACGATCTCGGGGGGCGGAGGCAGGTGGAGGTAATCGCGCAGGTACTGGATACCCTCATTGGTAAGGTACCAGTAGAAATCTCTCCAGGCAAACTGCTCTTTCACGTAGCCACGAGACTTCAGAGACTGCATGGCCTTCATGACGTGAAGGTTGGGCACATGCTTGTCAGCCAGCTCCGGGTGCTTGGGCATATAGACATCCTTTTTGGCTACCATCACTCCCTCCTTAAAAAGGAGTTCGTAAGTGGCAATCCGGTTCTTGGGCATCAACATCATGGCGGCTACCAGTTTTAAAAGTCTTTTCAGGTGCAGAGTGGCTCTCCAGCACACGGAGCTTCCTCCTGGTCCATGTGGCTGCCGGCCGCCCATGGGCAGACCTTTGGCTGCAGCGGCCACGGAGGGCTTCTCAGCAAGCAGTGGCGGTTTCCACGGCTACAGTCTTTAAGGGCATTTTGTTTTATCAACATGCCTGACTGGGGCTTTGGCTTTTTTTTTCCATGCATTAATTTATTTTTAAAGTTATTTTATATAACTTTATTCATTTAATTTGACTAGCGAGGGAGTGAGTGAGTGAGTGGGAGAGAGGGAGAGGGAAAGTGAGAAAGCAAGCCACCAGGTCCGGGACTGACCCGCATTTAGCCATGTGGGAGCCTACCACCTTAACCAGCATGTCACCTGCCAGCCTTCTTCTTCTTCTTTTTAAAGAGTTATTTATTGATTTATTAATCATCATTATTTTAACTTGACCCGAGAAGACAAAGTGAATCAAGCTGCTGGATCTGGAACTTGAACTGGAATCAGCCATGTGGGTGTCCAGCTTCTTAACCACCATGCCACCTGCCGGCCCCACCCGTGCCTTAACTTCAGTGGGAAGTAATGGGGACTCGAACACGTTTTTTCTTTTCCCTTTTCCGCATTCTGTGTGAAGCCCATAGCCAGGGGGGTGTGGAAGAGAAGGCAGTGAAGTCTGAGCCCTTGGTACTCCACACGCAGCACCCACTGGGCCCTGGCTGAGTGAGAGCAAGCTGGCGAGGAAAGTGCTGGTGATAGACCCACAGATGCTGTGAGAATCGGAACCTGACAGGCGGGAAGTGTCGGTCTTGGTCCTCTTTCAAGACGTCCCCTGAGTGGAGGGACAAGCGTGTGTGGCTCTGCCTCCCGTTGAGCGTGGCCCATCTGTCTGTTCTGCGTGTGCCACAGAGTCCGGCTTTCCTTGGCTGAGCGCCGTTTGCCCCCTGGATGCTGGTGCTTCACTGTGAAAAGGGCGTGCACCCCGCTTACTTAGGTTGGTTTTGAGGTTAGCAGCTAGGGCTGAAGTGGGCTCGCACCTTCCCCGTGCTGCCGGCCTTCCAGTGTTACATGGGTGTGCTGCTCGGCACGACTTGGTTTTCCATTTTGAGAAGCCCTCCTGGAGTGAGGACCCAGTGTGTCGGAGTGCACGCCGCAGGGTGGCGGGTGTGCAGTAGACCCCAGCCAGTCCCGCAGAGTGTGAGAAATGAACAGGTCTGTGGGTCACCTCGGCTGTCCACGAGACGCCCTCGGACTGGGAGCAGGCTGCTGTGGGTGGTGAGAGCACCTTTCTAGGGACAGGGTCCGAAGCGGTCTTCAGCTCTTCGAGGAGTTCCGTGATCCCATAGGACTTGGTCCGCTGGATCCAGGATCTGGCAGATTGACACTCTCTCTTTCATTTCCAAGGCAGATCGGGAGCGGTGCCGAGAAAAATTTCCTTACTAGATGACATTTCATCGCAATGTCCGATCGTTTGGGGCAAATAACCAAGGGCAAGGATGGGAAAAGCAAGTACTCGACCCTCAGCCTGTTTGATAAGTATAAAGGGAAGGCAGTAGACGCGGTTCGCCCCTCAGGTAAGACAGCTCTTCACGCCCCCTCAGCCCTGGTCCGTGCAGGCCTCCCTCTGGGCCTGTGGGGCCACCCGCTAGTTCTGGGAAGGCAGAACCACCCTGTTTCTGCCTGAGTCTGGTCTCAGGGCCCCGAGTATCCCAACTCTACCGACGGAGAACGCACTCATCCAGTCCTTCCTAAAGCCACAGGCAGCTGGCTCCCGCTGGTGGGCAGGGGACCGCGAGCCATCTCCTTGTCCTTACAGTTCACGGGTCCATATTCTGGACTTAGTGGGGAAAGGTCATGCCGACCTTGTCCACACCGCCGTGGAAGGTCTGGGTAGAGGCATCCCTGTGTCATGCCACGCACCTGAGCAGGGTGGGATGCAGGTTCTGGGCCGGCTGCGTAGCGGGGCACAAGCCTGCTCTCTCTGCCTTGGCACAGATTTCAGAGGCCCGACACTCAGGTCCTGGTTGTACAGTGATGACCAAACGCTTCCCTTTGTTTCCACGGCACATCCCCAGCGTCTTGTGTTGTTGGCTTTGTTGTCAGTATTCTGAAGGGGCCCCTTTCCCTCTGTAACTTCCCTGAGCAGTGTCCGTCCCACCCTTTTTCTGCAGTTATTCCTAGACATGGCTTACAGAGTCTCGGGAAAGTTGCCACAGCCCGGCGCATGCCACCACCTGCAAACCTGCCAAGCCTGAAGTCTGAAAACAAAGGAAACGACCCCAACATCGTGATAGTACCCAAGGACGGGACAGGATGGGCAAACAAGCAGGACCAGCAAGACCCAAAGAGGTGAGCTGCAGGGTTGGGGTGCGCAGTGGGTCACCCCAGTACCTTTCCTAAAGAATAAGGCAGCGCTGGCTTCCAGCAGCCACGCTGGGGAATCGGGGGCATGGAACTGCTTCGCTCCGCCCCGCCTCCATGGCTTCGCGTGCTCCTAGCTCCTGGCATCTTTTTTCTGGCCTTTGGAGCTGCCACAGCAGCACTCTGAGACCAGTGTCCCCGAGTGCCTCATCAGGAAAGGCCTCCTCACCCTGGGAGCTGTGCAGTGACAGGACCACTGTGCACAGGGCTGGCATGTGGGTCCTTTGCTCCTGGGAGTGGAGTCTTTGCATGCTGAGCTCCAGATGGAGAAGGCAGCCACCCCTGCGGGCCCAGCAGATGAAGGGGACTGCAGACCTGCTCGCCAGGGAGGACACAGAATCCTCGTTATCCAGGTCACTGTGTGGCAGCTTCCCTAGAGGCCTACTTCCTACCAGCAGAGCACAGAGGAAGCCTTAGGGGCAAGGGTCTGTGCGGTGTTGTCATTAGAGAAACCACAGCTGCAGGCTCTGAGAGCCTGAGGCCCTCGCCACGCCAGCCATCGCCTCCTCCCCCTCTCATCTTCTCTGTCTGTCCTGGCTGCTGATCAGGGGAGATGGTTTGCTCCTGGAGGAGTTCGGGCAGGCACAGGTTCTCACCAAGGCTGGCAGGTAGAGCCCTGCTGCGGGCCTTCCCCTTCAGTGAAAGCAGAGCTCCAGAGCTCCAGTTCCCATGCCCTCCTGCCCCTGCATTGCTCAGGGCCCCCTGCCGATGTGGGGAGCAGACGGTAAGCCGGACCCAGAAGGCAGCGGCCAGCCAGTACCTTTCCTTCCCAGTGGTCACTTGCATGGCGTGTGGGGAGTGCACGAGTTATTCAGCCAGATGCCTGTAAAGCAGTAATAACCCACCAAGGGCCAAAGAAGTTACTTTTTAAGTTTTCCTCAGAGCTTGCATAGGCATGTTGGCCGTGGTGTGGCACGGCTTCAGGGAGCAGATGGCACTGCGTGGTTTCAGCCAGACTGCTTGTTAGGTGGCGGAGCCTGGGGAGTTGGACCTGTGAGCCTCAGTGTGTTCCCTTGAGGTCAGTGAGGGGTGGATGGGGTGCCGGCAGGTGCCCAGCCCTGAGCTTGGCATGTACAATAGCCAGGTACATGCGGCATTGTCGCCCTTCTGTTAGGTGGCCCACTGCAAGCTCTGTAGGGACCCGACATGTTTCAGTGGACGCCGTGCAGTGCCTCTGCTGCCAGCTTGGGGGGGAGGGGCACAGCACCCTGCCCTCTTCCTATCCAGTCCCACCCAGTGCTGGCATCTGCTTCGCAGGCTGTTCATCTGTAGGGGAGAGGGGGAGAGGGAGTGTTGCAGGAGGAAGCAGCTCCCAGGCCATGTCTTCCCTCTGGGCATCGGGAGGTGGCAGAGTGGGGGCTTTGGAGTGGACTCAGTGCTTAGGTTTGGAGAAGACAGAATTGCCACCCCGGGGAGCTTCCATTTTCAGGAGACGGTGATGTGAGAGGAGCAGCAGCCTTGGTTGGTAGTGATCGTAACTGCTCAGGTGATCCTGGAAGGAGGCTATCTGTGGAGTTTGGCTTCAACTTCCAGAGAAGCCCCCGGTGTTGGCTGGACTCTCGCCACGTGGGTTGCTGCCCTTCTTGAATCTCCTTGGTTGGAAAAGTAAATACAAAGAGTGACCAAAACGCTGTCCAGTCAGATTGGGACTCTTCACCCAGAACCCGCCCCGGGTGCTCCAGAGATTACTGGGAGTGGACACTGGCAGAGTCTTTCCTGGGGGGCACTCGGGCCTTATCTGGTAAACTACAAAGCATCTTTTGATACACCAATTCCATTTCTGAGGTCTTAGGCTGCCGACTGACTCACACAAATCTGCAAAGAGGTATATGGAAATGTTCACTGCAGGTTTATCTGTAATAGGAAAGAAAGAACAAAAGAAAACGCCTAGATTAGAAATTGGTTACATTGTGGCCCATCCATTGTATTGTTTCATCAGCGAGAGAAACAAGTAGGTTCCTTCATACATTTGTCATGAGAAGATGCTTTAAGCAAGTTAGGGACGGACCAAAGATGGTATAATGGCTATGTCCCTAGCCTCCCACATAGTCGACCACGGTTCGAGTCTCTGACACAGGGACTTAAAACTCAGCCAGGCGTGGGACCAGCAGATGGCATAATGGTTACATTGCTAGACTTCAACATAGTTAAAAGTGGTTTGAGTCCCGGACCTGGCTGCTTAAACTCACACCAGGTGCATGTGCATGCTCAAGATCCCGAGAGAATAGAGGAGAAGGGATTGCGGTGTGACCATCCCCCCCTGGGGGGGGGGTGATTTCTCACTTTCTGTCTCACTGGAAAGCATGCATGCCCTATAGCGAAAAATCTCTCTCTCAAAAAAAAAAAGTTAGAGAATTATATGTATGGTGTTCTCCTACTCATGTTAAAAAAAATACTATGTTATATATTTAGAAAAATCTGCATTAGAGTTTTCTCTGTGGAGGATGAGATCGTGACGAATTATGTTATGTATATTTATAAACTTATTTTTACTATGAGCATGCATTTCTTCCGTAAGCCAAGAAAAGGTAAAACACCATCAAAATCTCGTGTTTCGAGTAGCTGTGGGCTCTTGGTCGGGAGTAATGGGCTCAGGCCTCTTCATGCCAGTGACTGTCTCCCTCCCCGTTCACAGTGAGCCTTCAGCTTTTTTGCACAGAGGCCATCTACAAGAAGGCAGAGGACCATCCTGTTTTGTGAATTGACAGTGAACAGGCTTCAGATATGGCTGGGTTTCTTGTTTATGCCAGCCTGGGAGTCTCGCGGAAAGGGCCGGAGGAGGTTTTGCCCCTGAGCAGAGCGGTGGCCACTCCTGGCCATGCAAGGCCTCATCAGCACACCGTCTGGTAACTAACGCCCACTGTGTGCCCCGCCTTCCTCTAGTTCCAGTGTGACGGCCTCTCAGCCGCCGGAGTCGCTGCCGCAGCCGGGTTTGCAGAAATCTGTCTCCAATTTGCAGAAACCGACACAGTCAACCAGTCAGGAGGTAGGTCCTGGGGACCCTGTCCTAACGCCGTCCTCATCCTAACCCCTCAGGGTCCCTGCGGTCGGTCTGGCCAGAGCTGTTGCTGAGAAGGTGTGGTTTTGTGTGGCCTATTTAAGTAGCAGGCAGACCCAGTCGTTCCCTTTAGGCGGCGTGCCTGGGCAGTTGTGATCACTGAGGACAGAATGTGGTCCACAGCCTTTGGAGAAAGGGCCCCGACCCAGGCTAGAGTACAGAGGCCTTCTTTGGTTCCTGC